ATTTCAGGGTTTCTTCACTTTGATTGACGACCTTCATACAAATTAATATTAATTACATTAATTTAAACTCGTATTTCCTCACCTCTTTGCCTCCTTGTCTCCTCGCCTCCTCACCTCCTCCAAGCCTGCTGCAGCTGACATACATATGGCCGACTGAGAAGACACACTGCTGAGACGGTCGTGCTGCAGCCGGCTGCCAACAACTACACACACACACACACACTCACACACACACACACACACACACACACTCACACACACACTCACACGCACACACACACACACACACACTCACACACACACACACACACACACACACACACCTTCTGTCCTGCCCCTGTGATTCATGCAGTCAGCAGCTTCGCTCGGGTCACTCGAGGTGAGAGGGGGAGTGACTCGCTGCTGTCACAGAAAATCCACGTCACCGAGGTTTTTGCTGTTTCACCGGCAGGAAGGAGGCGCTCATCGTCATTTTAGCAGACGTGTCAGGGTGACGGTCGGCCTTTAAGTCGGGACTCTTGGTCTGGACTCTTACTCCCAATTTTCTCTGCATCTGGAACAGCAGTGATTTTCGCCGTCCGCCAATTCCTACCTGATCTGTTCGTGAGGCGAATTTCGTGGTGGATTACAGACCGCGGTAATCACGAGAACTCGCAAGAAGGAACGGAAAGAAGTCGGTGTAAATTGACACGTTAACTTGAATGGTTACGATCAGCTACGATCGGAGGATACGACCTTTTAGGAGACGATCAGGATGAAGGTGGTTAAAGGTTCCTGTGGTGAGATCTCAGTCTGTATCTCTGAGGACGTCTGTGTGGACTCTCATCATCCCGGTCCTGGTTCTCATCATGACTCAGTATATTGAAGGTTAATCCACGTCTGTCAGACTCACAGATACAAAAGTCTGGACCAGGAGAGGATCTTCTGACCCTCTGACTCTCTGTTAACGTTCAGAGCTCAGATTGAATCAGATCATTTAACCGTGTTTCTGTTTCTGAGGACTCTCCTGAGGATGTGTTCTCAGTTTCTCTCACCATGCCGTTTCATGGGAGTCCTCCCAACATGTTCTCACACACACAGGAGTCCAACAGCTAAATGACAAACAGACGGAGCGTTTTCTCCACAAAGACCTCACAGTCCTCACGGACCTCGCAGAGATCCCTCACTGTTCCAAGAACGCTCGCTGACAAACAGGCTCCCCGAGAACTTCCTCTCTGAGGGACTCTGAGACCGTCTCTGCTGTGAGACCGCCCAGAGGAAACCACGGAGACGCTCAGGCTGAGAGTCCCGGTTCATGATCGGAGCTTCAGTTAAAAAACTGAGCTGCTGAGGCAGATTTGAAAAAAGTGTCCCACCCCCACACACACAAACCTCTCTACGATAACTCCGCCCCCTGAACCTGTATCGCCCTCCCAAAGACACGCCCCCTCTGACAGAAGATCCTACGCTAGCTTCAGACAGGATCCACCATGTCGGATTGTTAGTGACTAGCGTCAGTAAACACCAGCTCTGCTAGCGAGCGCCGTCTGCAGCTGCCTGGACAGCTACCGTGTTGACATGTCAGAGACTAATCAGAGTTATTTATGTAACATGAGATAAAAGGAGATAAAAATGACCTGAGGGCGGAGCTTTCTCCACCACTTCAAGAATGACCCGATGGTTATCCACGTTAGATTCCTCACTTGGTTACATTTTGACTCCGCCCTGTCTTGCGTTTACTTCCCTCTTTTGGCGGTGTGGCGAGCAGAAGTATTTTTTTTTTGCGTCCTTCTCCATCACAGCTCCTGTAGCTAAGCTGCTACTTTTAGCCGCTCAGAGCTCCGAGGAGGGCCGGGAGAGTGGGAGGGGACGAGTCGGAACTACGGGAGAGGGGTGTGTCCAATACAGCGAGGTGATTGGATGGAGAGGCGGAGCAGGAGATTGACCAATAGCAGCTGTCCGGGATGGATGGCTCCCATTGGTCGATGTTTTTGCAGCCCTGCTCCTGATAGGGTGAACTGATTTTTTCCGATCTTTTTTCTCTTCACTTTGTGGAGATCACACTATAGGACCGTGATCGCCATAGAAACGAGGTTCATAATGATCACCAATCTCTCCAATCGTCAACCATGCCTGTAAGAAAGGAGTCAAGGAAGGAAGGAGTCAAGGAGTGAGGAAGTGAAGGAGAAAGACTGAGAGACGAGAGAGAAAAGAGAGGGACCAGAAAAGGAGAGATGGAGAGTTTTTCATCGACACTTTCTCTCCTCTGACCTCAATCTGTGTGTGTGTGTGTGTGTGTGTGTGTGTGTGTGTGTGTGTGTGTGTGTGTGTGTGTGTTAGTGATGAGGTTCGATCCAGGTAGATTGACTTCTTATTGTCAGGGGAAGAGGCAGACTCAGAGACGAGGGGAAGTCCTGCAGACGCTGAGAGACGAAGACGAAGAAGAAGACGAGTTCTTTTTTCTAACATGATTAAATATAAAAAACAAAAATGAAACTGGGGCTGGGCGATAAAACGACATCGGTATATATCGAAAATAATTTCCCTCAATATCAGTATAAAACCAAGTATCAACCAACTGCAAAGTCGTAGCACACAGCAGCTACACCCAACCATGAGTGCTGCCCCCGACAGAAATGACCATGAATCATGTTTTCACTGAAACAGACGGCTCTGACTCTGCAGAAGAACTACGGGAGCCTGTCAGGGACAAACACTGTTGGTGGACCACAGCCACCCTGGTCAGGAGGAGTCAGGAGGAGAACTTTTAAAGAGGAGGAAAGTTTCTCCTCCTGAAACCTGCTTCTTCTTTCTGCACACAGAGATAAATCTGACATGAAGACGAAGTTTCTTTAATCCTCTGACAGATTTAAAGTAAATTTCTAATCCCTGAAGTTCTGCTCCGTCCCTCAGAAATAAAAATCATCTTTTCAGATTCAATCAGGATCAAATCAGCAGCTTCAATTTCAGGAGGAGCTTCAGCGCCCGTGTCGTGTCTGAGATCAGAGGATTCATGTTCAGAGTCAGACTGAAGGAGGCGGTTCGGAGATTTCCTCCGTGAGAGTCGAGGTCACCGACAGGGTCAACGAGAACCACCAGCCGAGCAGACTGTCCCGGTCCGGATCCTCACAAACAAAGACGGACCTCCTCCAGGACCTCAGATCATCTCTGTCAGAGTTCAGACAAGAGGAGGTCAGAGGTCAGGAGATACTGAGAGGGCGGCGTCCTGAGAGGGCGGCGTCCTCCCAGGACGTGTTTTCACGACACGACCACGAACTGTGATGATGCTGAAGGACACGCCCACCTGGGAGCGAGACTGACCATCCTCCAGGACCAGAACCATCAGGAGTTTTAGGAGCTGATCCAGACGGAGAGACCTTTAACTGGGGGGGGGGGGTGTAACACAATGAGACACACACTAATACACACACAGACACACTAATACACACACACAGACACACTAATACACACTAATACACACACATACACACTAATACACACTAATACACACATAATACACATAAATACACACTAATACACACTAATACACACTAATACACACACACAGACACACTAATACACACTAATATACACACTAATACACAATAATACACACTAATACACACACAGACACACTAATACACACACAGACACACTAATACACACACACACAGACACACACCCAAAGTTCAGGTCTTAGTTTATTTAGTTTAATTACACATAATGAGTGTGTCGAACACACACACACACACACACAGACCCCCCCCCCCCCCCCCCGTCAAAGATTGTAAATATTGTTGAGATGACTCACTCTCCTCAGGGAATTCTACCACTAAAGTGTGTGTGCTGGTATTTCTTTGTGTGTGTGTGTGTGTGTGTGTGTGTGTGTGTGTGTGTGTGTGTGTGCTTTCTTTGCTGTGAGTGTGATGTGAAAGGAGAGAGAGCGAGTGAGGGGGCGTGCGGGGCAGCTGGTAATTGAAAAGCAGAAAGCCATTTTGTGTGTTAATAGGCGCTCTGAGCGGCGGAGCGGAGGAAACAGAGAGAGAGAGAGAGAGAGAGAGAGGGAGAGGGAGAGGGAGAGGGAGAGAGAGAGAGAGAGGGAGAGGGAGAGAGAGGGAGAGAGGGAGAGTTGCAGATGAAACGATCCCCCCTCTTTCTTTCTTTCTTGTCTCTCTTTGTTTCTCGAAGTCACACTCTTCCGTTTTTGTCAAAATCTCTAAACCTGAACCTGATGGAAGGAGACAACAAAACTCTGAGTCTCTGATCAGTTCTGGACTCTGGTAGACCTCCTGTCTCCCCAAAGTAAAATCAAACCCCCTCAGCAAAAGAAGGACCAGGTCTCTGGACTTTTAGATACCTGCACATAAACTCACCTGAGAGTCTGACCCTGAACCTCCACCTTCATCCTGATCGTCTCCTAAAAGGTCGTATCCTCCGATCGTAGCTGATTGTAACCATTCAAGTTAACGTGTCAATTTACACCGACTTCTTTCCGTTCCTCTGCGGATCGCCGGACTCCTCAGCTGATCACAAGAGTTCTATTTTTTCTGGACGCCGGAGCATGGCGGATAAATTCAGCACAGATGAACCCGTGCTGGAAAGGAAGTCGGGCACAGACACAAAATAAAACATCCGGCTTCTTTTCAAAATAAAACACTCCGTGTTTCAGGAGGATCGTATTTCACACCATGCAAACGGGCGGAGACGAACAAGTGAAAGGTTTTTAGACGTCATTTCACCCCGATGACACCATGGATGAGGAGATGCTGATTCTAGAAGTCTAGAAGTAGATTTCCTCCTCTGGAAGGACACAATCTACTGCTTATATGTCTATGTGTCTGTCTTTAGAGAGACAACTCGTTATCGTGTGATTGAACGTGATTTCTGCTGTCTGTAATCCGCCATGAAATTTGCCATACTAACAGATCGGGTAGGAATTGGTGAACGGCGAAAATTGCCACCATTCCAGATGTGTTGAAAACTGGGGGTTGTCTTCTGATCAAGGATGGCCTCCTGGACTC